CATTGGTTAAGCCCTAGATTAGTTAAAACATTTCAAAATACAACTGCATTGTTTTACTTTTTGTGATTAAAAGACAAATATTTAGTCGTTTGAAAATTTCTTAAAGTATTTAAACATTGTCTCGTTCTAGTGAATCAAGTTTCTGCACCTTGTGAGCTAAGTGTATTGTCACACCCCTAGTGTTTATGAGCGTGATAAAGCTCATAATTTTTCAAGTGTATGATATAGCTTTCATTCTTCAGGTCAATCATATATTCATGAAAAAAAAATCAGTTTGAATAAGGAAAGCGATAACTTTGCCATAGTATTTCCCTGCAGAAGAGATGAAAACAATAAACCTGTTTGCTTCTTGTTCAACAACCGACAGAAAGAGGAAAGAGATGAAGAGTATCAGCATCGCAACAGATTAGACTGGGAAATGGGAGAGAGAAGCATTAATCGGTTCTTGGCGCTCTTGGAAGAAAAGAACAGAAAAAGTGTTCAGATGACATTAGATGTTCTGAAAGAGCGAAGACAACTTGAAGCCTGTGTCTCTAATCTGATGGAGCGAATCACTGAGAAGGAGTTAAAAACCCAAGAACTGACGCAGATTCAGGAAGCCCTAGGACAGAACAGAGAAAAGATTGAGAAGTGTGAGAACTTTAAGTTTACAGTCCAACAGGTTTTCAAAGAAAAAGTCCCCATAAAACCTGTAATAGTGTGGTCGTGGTCTTTTTTGAAGAAATGGAACGACTTGGCAACCTGCTGCTCTGTCTGTAAGGAAACCTGTCATGATGAGTATGGTTGCTGGTTGATCCCTTTCGATAATGTTAAAAGGTGTCAAGTCATGAAAGAAGACCACTGCACTGTGTGTACTAATAAGTGTCATTACAGCAAACACAACAAAGAGGACAAAAAATATGTGACAACGACAAAGACAGTCACTATGACATTTGATGAGCTCCAACAGAAGTATCCAAAAAGTGGGGAAAAGCCTAGAATCACCAATTACACAACTTATAAATATGAAGATACTAAACAGGAACATGAAAGTATCATGAAAGAGTTTCAAAGAAAAACAGAAATCGAAACGAAACTCGACAGTGATCTGGAGAAGATTAAAAATGAAAAGTCCAAACTGCTGCATGAAGCTTATACGATCATCATGAATCTGTGTAAGATCGCATTAAAAGCAGACAGCGCTTTCACTCTTCGGCATCTGGATTTCCTGATTCCCCGACTGAAGGAGGAGGGAAAAGATGAATGGATAAAGGACCTGGAGGATCTGAAGAAAACTGGAGAACAGCAGAAAAATAAGGGGGCCGTACATCATTTAATGGCTTTTTTTGGTAATTTAACTGGTAAAAAGTAATAAATGCAACAAATACAGGGCTTAAAGTTCTCCGGCACCGTGCCGGATCTCCGGTGTGCAGCGTTTGGCTGCAGAAAAAAATAATCCTACATTTAAAAAAATATTTGTTGATATCACGTTTGAGTCCATGAGTTCGCCTACCAATGGTATGAGAGAGCTCAGCTTTCACTCTCAACCAAACTAACATTACTAGCCAATCAGAAGTTTTTGCTCTTATAAACACGAGACGTGCATAATAGTATCCAATTGCGCGCAGAGTCGCAGCTGATGAATGGAAAAGAAGCTTGGGTCTGGAGCGCGACACATTGAAAAAGCTGCGAGGCGCAATGGTCAAAGATTTCCATCTAGCGTCATATT